AAGATGACCCGGCTCTTTTTCATTTTCTGAGGAAAAAAGTCAAGTGCAATGTAACATGCTCTCTGTGCTCTAGCTCGGAGGGAAGGAGAAAGGGGAGCACGAAATGGTTCAGTGGTGATTCCTGTCCCTCAGGGGTTTGAACTGTTGTTTGGAGGCAGTCTCATAGACTCACAGTGTGGTTAAGGTAGACAGAGAGTCTCTGCATCTGTCCTAGCGCCTGTGCTCAGGAGGGGTCTCGTCTCTCAGCCTTCATGCCTTCTCCTTTCGGTCTGGTCCCATCCTCAGAATACTCCATCACAGAGTCTCTTTGGAATTTCTGGAAAGGCCATCCCTATTCTCCATTGCTAATTGTGGAGTTTCCCTGTTTGTGTGTCCCGCTATTCATTTCTTAATAATTTGGGAGAGGAGGGGCACCGGGGTGACTCAGTCAGTTAAGTGTCGGACTTCGGCTCAGGTCATGATCTCATGGTTTGCGAGTTCAGGCTCTGTGCTGACGGCTCAGAGCCTGGAGCCTGCTTTGGATTCTGTGTCTGCCTCTCTCTCTGCCCCGCCCCGCTTGCACTCTGTCTCTCTCTCTCTCTGTCTCTCAAAAATAAACATTAAATTTTTTTTTTTAATTTGGGAGAGGAATGGCCAGACACTTGAGGTCATGTTGATAATCAAAAATAATAATGTGGGGACTGTCGTGCTAAGCACCTGTGCTGAGCATCACCTCACTTAATGCCACAGCAGCCGTGTGAAAGTAGATTTTTTTCATCCTCTCCATTTCACAGGTGAGAAAAATGCAGCTTGCAGAGGTTAAGTGACTTGTCTAAAGTTGAGAGCCACTCAGTAGCAAAGTCAGGCCTTGAACACAAGCTGTACAACTCCAGAGACCAAGTGTGTGTGTCACAGAGGGATGTGGCAAAGTGACTCTTGATCTGCATGTGTGTGTGTGTGTGTGTGTGCACGTGTGTGTGTAAGTAGGTATAGCTTTAAGGTTGATCTGTTTTTGTAATGTGCTGCTTTGTTTATTTGATCTCTTACTGATAGTCAAGCGTTAAACTTAAAGAAGATTACTGACAGCCTGGTTTGATTGTGGGTGAGGGTATCTGGAGGCAGTGCTTGGTACCTGGATCTCGTATTACAGACTCTCGAGAACCCGCCTGCCCTAGCCGGAGGTAGGGCCACAGCTGGGCTGGCGTGGCGAGCATGTTTGTATTCGCAGACTTGAAAAGCTGGAGAACGAAGTCAAGACCAGCCAGGACAAATTTGATGAAATCACCATGAAGTGGGAGGAGGGCAAACGGAAGAGAATTCCCCAGGACCTGTGGGACATGCTCAACACCCAGCAGGTGCACTGCGCTGGGCTGATAGGAGACAAGAACAAGCTTATCAGCGAGTTACAGCAGGCAAGGGTCCGGGGCCCCTCGCCCCCAGCCACGTGGGCTCTGATGGGGGGAATTGACTGCCTTATTGGTTTGCTCTTCCTGAATGGAAAAATGTGGAGGTCTTACTTCATTACTCAGATTATCGCACACCTCGGGCAACAAACTCACCCGGAGGGAAAAGCTTTTTAGCAATTTGAGAATCACTGGTGACCTTTGAAAGACGTACGTTCACAGCGAATGCTCTTTCAGGTTTCGTCTCCTCAGTTAAGGAATGGAGCTTAGTCTGCAGGAGCTGTGCTCCCGTGCTGGAACCTGGGTGTTAATGGCTCAGCTGGGATGCCTTAGCTCTCTGGGAGCTTACAGGGAGATTTGCAGCAAGTGGTCATGGATGGTTTGATCCCGTGCTGCTCATTCGGGCTTTGCCCCGTGCTGAGGCCACTCTGCTCCATCTGCCTGTGCCTTCTCCCAGGTGTCCTCAGATTCTTCTGAAGCCACTTTTGCTTTGTACAGTTACGATTCCTAGTGTTCTCGAATATTGATGAGCGAGGTCCAGGTGGAGCGTGCTTGGCACCTCTTGCTTTTGTCTCACTTTGCGACCAACCTTTGACATGCTCTTTTCTAGGAGTTAAAAACAAAAGATGACCAGTATGTGAAGGATTTGAAGAAGCAGTCAGATGACATCTGCCTGCTCCTGGAGAGGATGGAAGAGCAAGTGAAGAATGTGATGAAAACCTTCCGTCAGGAGCTCAATTCCATTGAGGTGATGGGGTGTGAACGAACTGCCTTCTGGGAGGAGAGCTGGGTCTGTCCGGGATGTCCGGGACATCTGGGAGGGGCCCGGTTGTCTTGTCCTCTGCTTTCTGCCCCTTAACTTATTACCCATTCATTCACTCGCCCAACAAATAGTCTTCACGTGGCTACTATGCCAGGCACTGTACCAGGGGCTGGGGATACAGCCACGAACAAAACAAAGTCCTCGAGGGAATCTGTATTCTAGTAGAAGACAGCTAGGCCACAAACAGATAAACCGCTACATATATCCTTGGACAGGTGGAGATTAGTGCTTTGAAAGAAAATAAAACCATGTGAGGGTAAGAAGAGTGGAGGAGGGGCGTATGTGAGCTGTTTGCTGTATTTATGGCAGCCAGGGCCGGGGCGTGGGAAAGCGGGGGGTCACCCAGGTTCAGAAATCAATACTTGGAATTTGAATGAAATGTTAAGGATTGAGATTGAGACCGGCCTTCCAAAATGGAAGGGAGCCAAGAGGGTGGAGACTTCTCTCCTTGGATTATTGTAGACCCATTTCTGCATTCCCGGGCCTACCCCTTGTGAGCAGCATGCTCCTTTGTTTTCGTGGGAACCCCAGCCATAGCAATGCAGCGGCCCTGGGCATGACTGAGTTGTATGCCAGGCTTTGCCCTGTGACTGCCACCAAGGGCACACGGCCCTTCCTCCGGCTCCTTCCTCAGAGACCGACTGAGCCACAGGACAGGTGGTACATTTCCTCCCAAAATTTGTGTGAAGCCCAGACTTGATAACACTAATTAACACGCAACTCCTTCCATAGCCATTTGGTTCCGCGAGACTTGGCAAGTCTGCATTTGGCTCTGACTGTGCCATTACTTATGAGTTGTTTAATGCTGTGGGACCTGCCTAATCAAAACAGACACCAGGCCCTCTTCCTTCTGGGTCATAGAAAGCATTTGAGGCGGAACGACGAGAACTGCTGACCAGTAATAAGAAGAAATGGGAGCGGGCCCTGCAGGCTCACAACGCCAAAGAGGTAAAGGGGCGGCGGGGAGGGGAGGGGCTGGCGGACGCGTCAAGGGCGACCCATGGAGCTGGGACAATTTCTACTGGGACTGAATTTGCTAGCCTTTCTGTGTCTTGGGGAGGATTGCCATGGCAGACACTTACCACTGCCCTTCATGGTTAATCGGTGTGGCCCTGCGGATGGTGGCTGCTTCTGGTGGTGACATTTGTCTCTGGTGGTGGTGAATACCATGGTCCTGTGTCTCTCTTCTTTTCAAACTGGGCATCGACTCCAGCCATGGGTGTTTGTGGCCCAGCAAGATGTTTTAAGATGTTTCAAAGGGTGTGGGGTTATCACTTTACTTGGGAGGCACAAAGAACAAAGAAATAGCTTGACCCGGATCCAGTGGGTCCTTTTTGAGAAATACAAATGTCTGACCGCAGCGTCGGTGTCTGATTTCTATTTTTTTTTTTAATTTTAATGTTTGTTTATTTTTGAGAGAGAGAGAGAGAGAGGGAGGGGCAGAGAGAGACACACACACACACACTGTGAAACAGGCTGCGAGCTCCGAGCTATCAGCACAGAGTCCGACCTGGGGCTCAAATTCACAAATTGCAAGATCATGACCTGAGCCGAAGTCGGACACTTACCTGACTGAGCCACCCAGGCGCCCCCGTGTCTGATTTCTTAAGGAACATTCCTCTTGGAGTTTCTGAAGTAAGGAAGCTCCAGATTAAGTGAAACAATACAAAGTCTTGGGGGCACAGGAGCTTCTGAGGGCCGACCAGCTCTCTCTAGGGCCATGACACTTTGAGACCCTTCCCTGTGTCATGCTTGTCAGGCCCCCTGAGTCGGGGCAGGGACAGGGCTGACTTTTCCCTTGTCTTCCTGTGCCTTCAGCTGGAGTATCTTCTGAGCCGCATCAAGAAGGTAGAGGACTATGAGAAGCAGCTGAACAAGCAGCGGGTGTGGGACTGCGAAGAGTACAACACGATCAAGATCAAGTTGGAGCAGGACGTGCAGGTCTGACTTGTTGCTCGGCGTCTGGGTGGCAGAGCAGACGGAGCGCCTGTGCGTTTTATCCTTGGTGATTGCCCCGCGTGTTCTAGAGTTAATCTGTTCGACAGATAGGTATTCGTTATCTGCTCTCTTTCAAGTGATGCTCTCTGAAGGAGCTCATGGGCAGAATGTACGTGGAGGAATTCTTTCCTTAATGAACCATGGAGAGCTGCCAGGAGGCAACACTGGCAACCGTGACCTGAGGAATCGCTGAGAGGATTGTGCATTTTAGCCGAGCAAAGGGAAGGTATCCCCAGGGCAAGTTTATCCCCAGTCATCGTCTACTGAGCCACCATCTGCTTAAGGCACAGTATCTCCAGTCCTCAACTAACATGCAGGAGAGGAATCACAGTGTTTTATATGCCAGGAAATAGACTCAGGACAAAGCTGCTTACTTAGTAAATGGTGGGTCCTGGAATCAAACCCAGCTCTGTCTGGCTCGGTAACCGATAATGTTCCTAATATTCCAAACAGCCCCCGGCTGATGGGTGGACATCTCAGTAGGGCAGATTTCGACTTGCCATCAGAAAGAACTTTCTAGGGGCATCTGGCTGGCTCAGTCAGTTAAACTTCCGACTTTGGCTCAGGTCATGATCTCACAGCTTGTGAGTTCAAGCCCCGCGTCGGGCTCTGTGCTGACAGCTCAGGAGCCTGGAGCCTGCTTCAGATTCTGTGTCTCCCTCTCTCTCTCTGCCCCTCCCCCACTTTCACTCTGTCTCTCTTTTTCAAAAATAAATAAATATTAAAAAAAATAAATAGTGGAAAAAAAAGAGCTTTCTAATAGACCTATCCCCCATACAGAAAGGGTCATCCCACAAAACAAGGCTTCTTTTCTCTCATAAAGTATTTAAAGGCCACATGAATGTGTCTGTCTTCACTGCTGAGGAAGGATTCTTGTAGCTGGAAGGAGGTTAGATTTTCTGGTTTCTAAAGTTCTTTCCAAGCCTAGGATTCCGTGCTTCAAAGTTAGTTTAAAAAAGCTCATCTCTAATTACATTTAGGTGTGATGTAATTACCTCCTAATATTTAAGCACGGTCTATTCAGTTGAATCTCTGTCTTGACAAATGCGTTAGACTAAAGCTTTTCCACATGGCCTTTGGTAGAATTTCAGGTCTTACTACTCTTGTGGCTTTATCTAACAGGGTTGAATCAACACCCCACCAGACTACAAATATTCTTACCAGCCTTGAGAATTTTCCCGGGCCTTTCTCATATCAATGTCATGAAAATGAGAGTCACTGACAAAGAACAGTGGAGGTCTGTGAGGGCAGCGCCGTTTATGTGGGCTGTATACATTACACGTTTAATAAAAATGGCTATTGTTCTGCTTTCTTAAGTTATTTTGGTTCTATGATAATTTATGTGACAACACTTCGTGCCCTTAGCCTCAAACAGTGAAATAATGGCAACTCATGTTCTTTTATTTGTTGCTTTGTTTTTCCTTTTGTGTTAAGAGCGTGTAACACAAGATCTACTGTCTTAGCAAATTTTTAAACGTACAATAACAGCACTGTTACTCATAGACTTTCTGTTGTACCGTTAGAGATCCCCAGAACTTATTCATCTCATCCCGTAACTGAAACTTTGTGCCCTTTGACCAACACCTCCCTGTTTCCTCACCCCCGGCCCCTGGCAGCCCCTGGTAGCAGAAATTCCACCCTACGCGTCTACGAGTCTGGCTGTTTTAGATCCCACATATAAGTGAGGCCATGCAGTATTGGTCTTTCTGTGTCTGGCTTATTTCACTTAGCGTAACGTCCTCCACATCCATCCATGTTGCAAATGGCAGAATTTCCTTTTTTTTTTTTTTTTTTAAGGCTGAATAATATTTTACTGTGTGCATATACCACATTTTCTTTTCCCGTTAGCCCCTCGGTGGACATTTAGGTTGTTTCTTTATCTTGACTATTGTGAACGGTGTTGCAATGAACATGGCAGTGCAGACACCTCTTCAAGATCCAGATTTCAATTCCTTTGAATCTATAGC